GACAGGAGGGCGTAGAAAAGTCGGCACTGGTTCAAATGGAAATGCACTTGAAAAGGTTTGAGGATCTGAAATGTTGTTAACTACTGCCCTCCTGCTCAGTATGTTCTTACTATTTAGAGTGATTTCCGAAAAGGAAGCGCTTCAAGATCGTCTTGAGCAATTTTCGTTACCGAACGCTCAAGCCATGGAGAAAGTCAACCAACTTAACATGGTTTTAGCAGAGATAATACCGCAAAGTTTGTGACTATAGGCCGATAGTTGCACTTCAATGAGTCACTATTCCAAACCTAGTTTTTCAGACAAAGAGTTGACGGCGGTTAAGGAACGACAACGCCTTGAGCTGGAGGCTCAAAATGCCACTCTAGAAGAGCAGCGAACTCACATTTCTATGCTTGAGAAAGCTTTGAGTAATGCTCAGGAAAGGCTAGCAAAACGCGAGAAGGTAACTTTTGAGAACTACTCATAGAAAACGTTTAGATTCTTTTCATGTTAGGTCATAACGTTTTGAGGTCTGCGACGAACTGACATTGGCTGCTGAACGAGCAAACCACCTCCAGCGTCTCCTCCACGAAACTCTCCTGGATAAACAAGCACGCGACGAGACACACGCCCAAGAGCGAACGCAATGGGAGATGGATATGACGCAACTGAAAATGCAACTGAACAAAGTAAATCTTTAATACGTCTTATGTAACACTGATTGCGTGACGATGGTTTCTCCAGGATTTCTCTCAGAACGGAAGTCTCAAGAGGATCAGTCGGTTAACTGGCGATGCAGGCGATGAAACAATCAATAGGCTCAAAAAGACTATGTATGCCAAAGACGAACGTATCACGCAGCTTGAGCGGACAGTTGTAGAGTTGCAAAGGTAAATGAGAATGTGACAAAAAACGTCGAAAAGAAATTAGCTTTACACCCATACCATAATTCTGAAAAACATTCAGCGTTTATAGATTCCTATGAAAAAGCGTTAGAACTTGGTTGTTAATGAACATTTTAGAATAGAATAATCATCTCAAAACACTTTGTCGACAGAGTTTGGTCTATGTTTCAAAATCGCTTAGCTTTGCTTGTTTAGGAGGCTTCATGAGGAGACCGAACGAAAAAACTGTGCTTTTGGTGCTCTCAATGATAATTTCGAGTCTAAAATGAAACAATTTGAAGACGAGAAAGCTGCTAAGGTACGCTTGTTGAACTTGCGATCTGCCGCTAATGGCTTACCGTTTCGTTTTTTTTTTCACCATAAAACTTCAATACATATTAGTGAATATGGTGAATCTTACCTCTGTTATTAGTTTCGCTTATATTTGCTTTTGTTACTTGTACTTTTTTATCATATTAGTTGCTCTTGATGTGGAAGAATATATAGATATACAATCTATTCAACAAAATCAACAAGAGTTGTTTGGGGTTAAAATAAAATTTGATATTGTTAAGGATCGTCGTATCACGCTTTTAAGCGAGGATCGCGGAAAATTGGGGGAAATCCTAGATGTCGGCGGTAAAGAACGTGATGATGATGCTGCACTTGGCATGCACAAAATGGAAGAAATCCGGCAGAAGATTCAGGAAAGAAAAAGAAAAGGCCGCATGTGCGCTACTGGAGGGTGCGTTCATTATGCGAGTACTCGAACTTTTGTTTTCCCCTATCTATAATTGCATAGACTGATTGGAATGGGGGATCATTCCCGATCATCTTCAGGATCACTCCTTCCACCGGGGTCTCATTTGAGGTAAAAGATAAAACAATAATGTTTTAACAACCTGCAGCTGTAATGTCAGTTGAACGTGATTTCTGACTGCTTGTTTAAACATCAAATACCTACTTCAGGACTTCCTCCGGTCCTTTCGAACAAACCATCCTGGATTCGGCAGCACTACTCTCAGAGATATCAAATCCGTACGCCAATCGACCATCGGTGTCGTCAGGATATCACAACTTCTTTCAAAGTGAAAAACGGGAGGGCACCGACGGTGACAATGTGTGGAATGTTTAACGTTACGGTTTTTGAAACGCTCAAATCTATATATTGATTTTTAATTGTTTGATACTTCTCATGGGTTGCCCATCGGGCTTTTTGCCATAATATAGATAAAATACCGAACAAGTTGACCTTAGAGTATCTGCTAGGATGTAGGTGTCACAATTTATAATAATTTTGCTTAGCTGAGCATTTAGCTCACCGCATATACAGCAGTTTTGCGGATAGCTTTTTGCTCATTTGTAGTCTTCTTTTTGTGGTAGATGCTCTCTGCTTTTTTCCCAAATCTTTGGTTTTAGTGGTATAATGCAAATTTCTCAGTTGTTTTTATTTTTGCCAAATGTTCGAGTGTAGTTTTCGCCGTATGCCGTACGTCTACGTAGCAATTTACGTTTAGCATCAAAACCTTTTTTGTGAATTTTTGAAATTGTTATCGTAAAGACTGCGCTATTTCTGTTATAAGTGTTTCCACTCCTCTCCCGGGGTAAAACCTTAGATTCGTGTGTTTCATAGCAAACTCTATGTCCCCTTACTAGAAAGGCACCGTTTATACTTAAGTGATAGTTTATTCAGCACTCCTTGTCACAGTCACACAAATTTACAACAATCATATAATTATATGAACTCAATAAAAATCTGAGATCTATTGTTTTGACAGCAAAACTGCATGGATACATTGGTATTAAGTAGCAAGTACATTGTAATGTTTGAAGAGCAAATGAGTTTTCAGTATGACTTGATCTGACGCTTCGGAAGATTTTACGTAAAATTCTTTGAGCAAATCAAAACCCAAGCGATCATCATGAATATTTTTAATAGATCTTCTACCGAAGCATCATACACCGCAGTAAAGAGGTGGTAGAAGTAGTGAGCATCGACAATAGTTGGCACCGTGATTGATACATGATTTCTGCACATAGACATTTAATAATCTCAAAACTACTGGATCAATGGAAAACGCTGTCGTTGTGACACTTTGCCTTACCGGATAATGTTGAAATTTATCGCTAGGGATTGGACACAGTCGTATTGGTGATTTAGAAATACACCGTAGGCGCCCCGTCTTGTGTGGTGACCGTCACCGGCACTAGGTGAGCTCCAGCTGCCCTTTTCGGAGCCGGTGACTTTGCTGCTTCGAAGTTTTTCTCTTTGTCAGCGTTCACAACGTAATGTCGGCTAAAAGTTTCTAGCAATCAGATTACGAGTAATATCACCAGGATTGAGATTAGTAAAGCGCGTTAATAAAAGGATAGGATATGCAACAACCGTAGTGCAAAGACACGGTAACACAATGAAAGTAAGGAAAGGTGTTAAAAGTGTGTGCACTAATTGATTGTTGATGACAGCTCACTGTATATCTTCTCAAATCTAATTTGTGATGTCAGTGAAATGGTAATATCTAACCTAACTTTTCCTGCCACTTATGCACACTATAAGATCACTGCATCGAACGGTTGTAGATGAATCATTAGTAGAAGAGAACGTAAAAGTTATAAAAGTGCTAGGAGGTCTATCCGACGCGATTAGAAATAATATTATACCCCTTATTATCATCACCTTTGATCGTGAGAGAAGGATAGGCAGAACTGAGATGCTCTGAAGTCCTACACCAGCACTAGTTCGCTATTTTTACCGAGATAAGTGCCCGTGTCACAAAAGTCTAATCATATCACAAATTAATTGATATGATAATGTAAAACTTATTTTTAGTTTGTACATCTAGCAAGTGGAGACTGCAATGAAGTATATAATGATGATGTCACGAAGTCTGATTGCGGTCATCAACATCCAATTGGATTAGGTCTTGAGAATCCCAGTACTGTTAGCTATCTACCTGTTCCCACTTGGCGTTGTGCCAGTAATGGTAATTCCGTTGTCGTTGACTGTATTCATCCAACAGATGTTAGTTCGTTTTTGACTCTTCCATCTGCAATCGAGGAGTGTCAGGATGAGTTCATCTCACCTTCCAGTAATTTCGGCCGAAATAATGATTCTGAGTTGCATTAAGCGAAGTATAACAAACCGGCCCTATGTGCAAAAGACTTTCTCTGATGAGAGTACTCTATAAAGCGTCGCGTGTTACAGTTAATATCCACACACTTAGCGGCATTACAGCGGTGGTGGTAATGTAAGCGCTACTTTAGGGTGGACGTGAACATCATTATTAGAGCTAACGAGGACTAAGCTGTACGTGCACTGGATAAATTGGGAACTTACGCATAATGCACCTTCCTGAAGACAATAATGAGCAGCAGTGCAAATATGAGTGCCAGGATGATCAAGATTAGTACTGTGAGCGCTGACGTAGAGGAAACAGCAAACGACGGATTTTTGACAGTGATCTAAAGAGAAAAAAGATTGAGGATCTCTTTGTATTTTTTT